GGGGCCTGCTGAGGCCTCCGGAGGCCTGGGAAGCCAGCGATGGTGGCTAGGGGAGGCCCCCACGGGACCTGCTTAGGCCTCCAGAGGCCTGCAAAGCCAGCGATGGTGGCATGGAGGGGACAGTATTCGCTCCATAAGACGCATGCACTCCCCCCCCACTTTATTTGGGAGAAAAAGTGCGTCTTATGGTGCAAAAAATACGGTATATAATGTGCTGCAAGACAAAAGGATAATTTAATTGCTGGGCCTAAGCCTCATGTTCAGCCCCCTGTCAAAGCATGAAATTCCCACCTAAAACCCCCAATGGGTGGTCATCCAGACTTTGCTTAAACACCTCCAAATGTTGGAGAATCCCCTCCTGAAGAAATCCATTCCTCTGTCAAATAGCTCTTACTGTTAGGAATTTGTTCCTAATGTTGCATCAGAATCTCTTTTTCTGTAATATCCACCACAAATCCAATCCTTTGGAGCTGCAGAAAATACGCTTGGTTTGTCTTCCACATCATAGTCCTTTGGATATTTGAAGATAGCTATGATGCTGCCTCTCGGTCTCCTCCAGAATGATCATTCCCAAAACTTCAACTACTGTATTTTTTCCATGACTTGATTTTCTAACCATGTATTATCCTGGTTGCCCAGAAGTATAACATTCCAGATGAGGTCTGACAAATGCAGAATAGAGTGGTGATATTATTTCTCTTGGTTTGAACATTGCACTTCTGTTGATGTAGCTGAATATTGCATTACTGTCATCTACAGATTGAATGAATATCCCTTCTAGACTCTAATCCAAAATTGCCAGCAAAAATCTGGGGGAAATTGTATATCTTTTAAAATGGGGTGGGCTGAACCCCTCTATTTTTGTAATGTTCAGAAAGTCCATGCCCACTCTATGGTTTGTAAGGGAGGAGTATAGTGTCATTTTACATTGTAATTAAAAAGCAAAAAGTTGAGCTACTAGAGGATACGATAGGGCTTTACCTATTTTTTAAAAGTCTTTGTAAAATTAGAACTAAGATTAGGGGTTGGTAGGCCTTGGAAATGGGTGACGCAGCAGGGTTTCTCTGCACGACCCATAGACCTGTGAAAGTTGTTAGGTAAAGGTAAAGGTTCCCCTTGACATTTAGTCCACTCGTGTCTGACTCTAGGGCGCGGTGCTCATCCCCGTTTCCAAGCCATAGAGCCAGCATTTGTCCAAAGACAGTTTCCATTGTCACGTTGCCAGCGTGACTAGACATGGAATGCCGTTACCTTCCTACCATGGTGGTACATATTTATCTACTCGATTTGCATGCTTTCAAACTGCTAGGTTGGCAGGAGCTGGGACAAGCAACGGGAGCTCACTCCATCCCGTGGATATGATCTTGCGACTGCTGGTCTTCCAACCTTGCAACAACACAGAAGCTTCTACAGTTTAACCAAGATGTGTTTGTAAGAGGAAAATTCTGGTAGGTGCGGTTCCTCCTAATAGTACCTTAAGAAAAGTTATGCTGGTTTGCAAATCTGGCAAGTACAGGAAAAGAACATGGATAGCATCCAAATTGGCATATAGATATGGTATAAGGATTGCTGAGGGCATTTTTTGGATTTTTTTTTTAAAAGATACCTCATCTGCAAGTATTTCTACTTAGAATGATCCATCCTTCCCCTTTAAGAGCTGTCCTGCACCTTTCTGGCACAGCACTAGAGCATGCATTCTTTTTGGCACACTGCTTAGCCTGTTTAGCTAGGAGATAATAGAGCCTCCAGTTGCTGCAGATTCCCGGGGAGAGTTTGAGAAGGAGAGTTTGAGGGAAGGGAAGGGGGGGAAGGGAGAAAATGGAATGGCACTGACAAAAGGGAGAGAGGAGCAATGAAAAAAATATAATTCCATCTCCGCAGACAATCAGGGGAAGCAATTAACTGCTGATTGGTCTACGAGGGGCTAGCTACTGTTTGGACGGGAACACGCCAAATAGCACATCGCTCTTCCTCTCCACCTCATGTCAACAGACTCTTTGTAACCCAATCTACCTCACACCCAAAATGGAGAGGTCCTAATGTTAAGATGTGGATGAAGAAAAATCCTGGTCATTCCTGGAAGTCAATTGTAGTCCAGGGCTGGCTTGCCTCACTAGGCATTTCCCAACTTTGCTCACAAGCTGCTTGTGTTCTGGTCCCTTTCTCTCACGGACCATAATCAAGCTGGCTGTAATTGTGACTTTTGGTTCTCTACCAGGACATTAAACCAAGAACTCCTGCTTTTCACATCTGTTATGAGCACTAGTGAAGAAGCAGTTCTGGGGAACAACACACAATGAGTAGAAACAATGACATTGCAGGAGCGTCAGTCCAGTCTTCTATGTGCATCATTTTTAATTTGCAACAGCGCATATTATGGCTTGTATAACCAAACTCTAATCCAGAGCTTTGTCTAATTTTAAAATGTCCCAGCTGTCAGAATTTTTTTTAATACCGCACTCTATAGCTGGAAAAAAAAACCAGCTTCCTAAAATCCTGTTTGCTCTCTTACCTTGTTTCTATTGGTTACATTTTGTGATGGAAGCAATCCCTCTCTTTTTTATTATTATTTTTCCGCCTTGTGATATGTGAGATACCCTTTTGCTGCCAAACAGGCTCTGGGAACAGACTGGAAACCCAGGGTCTATAAGCAGCAACAATGCCAGTGCGTAATCTAGTTCTCCGAGCTATGTTAAGTGGCAAATGTCTGCCTGAACTCTTCTTGCAGCCTTGGCTTCTTCGATTTCAATTCCAAACATGGTTATCTATTTGGGGTCTCTCTCTCTCTCACACTCCTTCCCATGGCCACTAATATACATTCCAAATTGAACACAAGTACCCTGTGCTCTTCTCTCTTCTCCGCCCCTTTGCCCTCCCCACTGCTCTTTCACTGTGTCTATTTTCACATCTCTCGCGGCTCTGGAGGGAGCAAACCGCAGGCACTGTCAGCTCTGTTCTGCTGAGCAGTTTCCAAACCCAAAGTCTTCTTCCTCTCCAGAATTGAGTTTCTGCTGCTTCTACAGGTGTATGAAGCGTGGCGGTAGAGTCACAGACCCTAGCAATAACATCTGGCGGTACATTTTGTGGCAACGGAAGTGTGTGGTGCAATAATAAGTTCCCCTGTTGGTCTAAAGCCAGAGTGGACGAGTAGCTGCTGTCTTGCTCCAGTTCCAGCAACCTGTTCGATATAGTCTTGAAAACAGACAAATTCGTAGACAAGGACAATGAGCGCAAATGCCACCCTTTTGGACCGGATTGTTTTTAACCCTGTTTTGTGTGAGGGTTGGAAGCCGTATATGGAAGGAGCAGCCTATCATCTCGGTAATTTCTTCCTCCTCCTGGGGTTTATGGGAGGAAGTGGGATCATTGGCTCCATCTACATCTTAGGCTTTCTGGTCATTGGCTTCTTCTGTGCTGCTCTCTGGGGCTGGCTGGATGCTTGTGGGCTGGACATCTTCATCTGGAACATCCTTCTGGTCCTGATCTGCTTGCTTCAGTTAGCTCACTCGTTTTATCAGCTCCGTAAAGATGCGCTTTCTGAAGAATTTGACCAGCTCTACAAGCAAGTTTGTCAGCCTCTGCAAGTGCCACCCCAGGTCTACAAAGAAATTGTCAAGTGCTGCGAGGAGAAAGTCCTGCCACTGGCCAAAGACCAGACCTATGCCTTGGAGGGCAAGACGTCCATTGACCGCCTGTCATTCCTGCTGTCTGGCAGGTAGGCCGTCCTCCTGGCAACCTTTTTTTTCCTGGGTATCGCAAAGCTGATCTTGTTAATGAGAAGTGGGAATGAGAACTCCTTAACAGTGTTACATAAGAAACAGATTCTGTTTTCCGCTCCCCTAGTTTTTATTGGGATAGGAAAACCTGCCACCAGTTTCCGCTTAAGCTTTATGAGGGTGAAGGAATCATGGGGGGGAAAGAGCATGTCAGGAAGATTTCATATAAGAATTGTTTCTGTCGTCTAATTATATGGAGGTGCTTTCCTCTTTGGCAATATAAAGTGTTCACGTAGAAAAATCCACACTTAACAGCATGAAGTAATGCAGTTTAGGCAAAAGTTCATCACCTCTGCAAGATCTAAGGTTCCTGGCTTACCTTGGAGACATGGGCACGCAGTTCTGAGCAGCAAGGAGGAGAAGGCGTTAGGAGCTTGTCCCCTGTACTTTGTTGTAAACTCTTGACAGTGCATGAAGTAATGCAGTTTAGGCAAAAGTTTGTCACCTCTGCGAGATCTAAGGTTCCTGGCTTACCTAGGAGACATGGGCACGCAGTTCTCCTGAGCAGCAAGGAGGAGAAGGTGTTAGGATCTTGTCCCCTGTACTTCGTTGTAAACTCTTGACAGCAGACAGACAGTGCTTGATGCCATGGCAAAGAAGCTCCTGAGCTAGTGCTACACACAACCGTAGTGAAACACATACTTTAACAAGGATTGGCAGGAGGGCACATATGGAGCTGCTGGCGGATTTCTGCTCACCTGCAGTAGATCAGCAGGGAGGTCTGACTTCCAGTTGCTTAAGAACGATACCACCAAAGGGTCTCTCCTTCTGCCATGAATTCTGTATCTGGAACTGTGAAAGCTTGAAGTTGCCAGGAGTGGGTTTTTATATGTGGATGGGCTGTGAGCGCTTTTTCATTCTGAGACATTCGTAAATGCTTGGGCTCAGGGAATTCTTTTAAGTGCATCAATGGCCAGAATTCAGTGTCCCTTAAAGCCAGTTCACTTCAGGTGCCATTTACAGCCACCTGCCCCCTTCAGGTACACAGGTGCACATGGGGTTTGCCCTATTCAGATTCATTTGCTTGTGTTCTGGGTGTCATATTTGCAGTCTGGTCCGCATTGATAGATTTGGTCATGTGCTGTTTGGCTGCGTATGTCCTTCTGGCTCCCTTTTGGATTCTCATTTTTCTTGCCCTCACCTCACCTTAGTGCTGCTTTTGATCTCATAAAATGGTTGGGAGTGTTTACAGGATTTTTTCTGAAGTGAGCAGGAAGGAAGCTACATAGTAGTACGCTGCCATAATTCACTTGCAACTCAAACACCGTGCATCTATCTGTGCACATTAAAACAATATATTTAGCAATGTCCCCACTCAGCCCTAGGAATTCTTGTGAAACCCAACAAACAGAAAGTATTCATTCCAATTTACATTCCAACTCAGATTTCTTAACTTGTTTATAAATGAGAGAGACTGTGTGTTTGTAAGTCAATAATTAGACTTACTTCTTTTTTTCATTTGACAATTGAGTGAAGACTCAATTTTCCAGGGTTGGATAATGCTCTTCAGGTTGATTTGTATTTGTGAATGAAAAGCCAATACAGGCAATAAAACCATCACAAGATGGACAAGTGAGCTCAAATATCAGTGAAATATTTGCACTATCCTACCAAATGCTGAAGATAATGTTACTAACCCACCAGCTGTAATAGTCCATCATAATAATCTATATTTGTATGGACTGTGAGTTGTCACAGAATGAACAACACAGAGAACAATTGCATATGACCCTCATTCTCTCTGCCCAGAATCCTATTGGTTAATTATGCTAGTGTCAGTGCAACGGGATAGATCACAGCAGCAAATTGCGCCAGCTAACAAGTTGTGGCTTGTATCCCTTGTTGCACACCAACACATGTGAGTGTTGCCTGATGAGGCATGCAAGATACATTTTGCTGACTAGATGCAATTCGTTGCTGCAGTTTATGCCATAGTACTTGACTAACCAATTAGATTCTGATTTATGTGTTTAAATGGGCTGTACCAGGCATCCTTGAAGTGCTGTGCTTTATAGTTGAGGAGTGTTTACATGTTACGTTAAATGTGCCTTCAGACTGTAAGTACAAATATTCAGATGGCTGTGAGAATCTTTCTCCATGTGTTCATATCTGATTTATAACTTACTTAACCTAGTGAGTTAGGTACTGGCTGCGGAGTCAGAGGTTGTGAGTAGAGATGGGGGTATTCGTATTTGTATACGAATATCCTTGCACAGGTGGCGTCACCAATCCACCGTGGATGCGGACAGCACAATTCTACGAATGGCTTCTCAGCACGCGATCCGCTCGCCACTATCGGCAGGAGGCGGGAGGACAAGCCTTGCTGCAAGGTCGAAGAATTGTGCCATCCGCATCCGTGGTGGATTGGTGAGTGGACCGTCCGAGGCTGGACCCTTGTTAACCCCACCTTTGCAGGGATATTCGTATACGAATACGAACACCCCCATCTCTAGTTGTGAGTTGAATTCCCCACTATGCCTCGCAGGAGAAGAAACTGCCTTTGTAGCCTTGGGGAAGCTGCACAATCCTAGGGCGACCCCAGAAGAAGAGAATAGTAAACTACTTCAGAGTGCTCTATCCTTAGAAAATCCAGGAAAGGACTGCCATGAGTGACATAGTGGCACACAACTAATTAACTACAGGTGTTGGATGGAATGAAAGTATAATATACTGTAGGTGTTAACCATTTACGGTGTAGCCCTATGTGCTTAATGTATCGTGTGGATACTCTAAAAGTGACTATACTTTCAGTAATTCACAACATATGTATGCACAGTCATTTGATCCAGGTTCCCCATACACACTACCTGTATCCTGATTTCGGGAGGATTCTAGTAGCTATGTACTAATCAGGGATGAATACATTCAGGCAATAGCCAGGTGGTCCAAAAACCTTAAGCATGAAGGAAGGGTGGAGATGTGAATGTTGTCCCCCATGCCCCTTTCTCACAGCTTTCCATTTTGGGCAGGAAAGAGTCTGGAGAGGAGCTGTAACTATGTTTGAGTGTATGTGAGCACAGTGCTCTGCATGATCCAGTACCTGGAAAGATCATGCTGGGGACAGGTGTCACACTGATACATCATAGACCTGCTGACTCTCTCTGAACAGCCATTAATGTGGTTTAGTTATTTACTAATACTTATACAACTGGCATGACAACCAAAACTGGCAAAAAGCACTCTGAACCACAGAGGTCACCTGAGACTCCAAAGGCCAAAGTGGACGCAGGAATACTCCCAGCCTTACACGTCTAGGCTTTCAGAGAGGGTGCGACTCCATCAATAACAGGTAGCTTCTTTGTCTCCAGGATGGCAACCACTTGCCTACAAGGCCTCTATTTTCCTGGGATTCCAGGGAACAACTTGCCCACCACTGCAATTGCTATGTGGCCAAGAAACAGCACATCTTCCTAGAACCTGTTCAGTGAGTAACAGCAGAACCACTTAAGTAGAGTGCCCTCCGCTACCAACCCACTGAGCTAGTCCGGAAGAATAGCACGGCCAGTGGGATCAAAAGCTTTGGAGAGATCAAACAAGAGCAGCAGGGTTCCACTCCTCGTGTTCCGTCCTCTCAGTAATGATCAACCATCAGGGGGGATCTAGGCTGATTACAGATCCTGGCCTGAACCCAGATCAAAGTTATTTTAGATAATCGGTATTATCCCAAGTGCCTGCAGCATACCACAAAAGTCTCAAGAACCTCCCCCTCAAAAGATGGGTCAGTCAGTAGTTGGTATATTCAGTAGGGAATTTCTTCAGCAGCGATTGGCCGTATCACGGCTTCCTTAAAGGCGGCAGGTGCCTTTCCCCGTGTGAACCAGCATTCACAGCATTCCAGACCCAACTGGCCACACCACTTAACGTAGCTTTAATCAACTGTAAGGAGCAAGATCAAGATATACTATGATCAGGTGCCATGCTCCACTAGATCCTTGTCCTCGAGCCACACCAGCTGAAAATGATCTGAAACAACTGCATTGGTGACCTTGGTTGATCCTTCCAGAGTAACATCATCAAAGGTCATTGTGGCAGCAGTTTTATCCTAAATCTGCTTATCAAGAAAGGCCGTCCGATCATATTTGTCCCCAGGGGCTGACCATCTGAATGGATCCCTGACATTTAGGGGTCAATTGATCCAAACTTTGCAAAGGAAATAGCCTGCCCACAACAATGCTATCTTCAGACCGCCCATCTCCTAATTTAGAGCAAAAACTACATCAGATTTTGGCCTGTTGTGTGAGTGTATCTGGGTGCCATTTGGCCCTCATCTACCCCTGTAATAATTTTAATTGTGGCAATGGAGAAATGTATACAGCTAGATATTTTGTATACCTTGGTCCCATCATCAATCAAAATGGAGATTGCTGTCCAGAAATTGGAAAAAGCTGAGAAACGGAAGAGCAGCAATCAAGGAATTAGAAAAGAACATTTAGTGTAAGGACGTGTCACTGGAGACCAAGGCTAAGATCATCCACACTGTTGTATTTCTGATCACCATATATGAATGTGAAAGCTGAATAGTAAGAAAGCTGACAAGGGAGAGAAAAAAAGATTTGTCTGAAATGCGGTGCTGGAAGAGAGCTTTGTGGATACCTTGGAGTGCCAGAAAGACAAACAAGTGGATTCTAGATCAAGTCAAGCCTGAACAGTTTCTGGAGGTAAAAATGTTGAAACTGAGGATGCCTTACTTTAGGCACATCACGAGAAGGCAGGATTCTCTGGAAAAGAGAACAATGCTGGGAAAGATGGAAGGCAGCAGGAAAAGAGGAAGACCAAATATGAGATGTTTGAGTTTGCCGGAGGACAGGGCATGTTGGAGATCACTCGTTCATAGGCTGCTATACTGTACATTGGTGGCAAATGGATGGCACCTAACAACAACTATTAGATCTGACAGAGCAACAGATATCACGTCGCCGTCATATCTTACAGGACATTGCCTGTATAATCCCTCTTCCATCATAGAAAAATATGTTCAGGAATATCCAATATGCCTCATTCTTTCCTCACTAGATTGTAGGAGAATTCCAGGCAGCAAATATTTGAGCAACAGTTATTTAACTGTAAATTACAGCACTCCCCACTCGCAAGTGCTACACAATTAAAATGTTTGTAGTTTTGAGCAGATGAAAGAGAAGCTCAACCTCACAGCTCTGGCTACTGAGACATCACAAGCATGGCAGCGGACGGCTGTGGGTGATGAACTGGTACTACATGATGGCTGTGAAGATGTACTCCAGAATAAGTAAAAGAAAGGAAGAAGAGCTGTCACTTCAAGGAGTTCCTGTGTTGCCTGCAAACCTTCCAGCAGTCACAATGAGAGCAGCAGGCATTTGGCTGTGCTACGCTTGCTTGTCATATGAGTAGGTTCAACTCCAGGCTGTTCACATGCAGAGAGTCATGCTTTGCTGTGTCTCCTTTCTCTGCAGGCCACTCATCTGTCTGCTTGTCTGTCTGTCTGTTTTGTTTTACATGCCATTTAAATCATGCAGAACTATTTGACAGGGCTACATACACTGAGCGCCTGTCCAGACTGGCTGTTTCAGGTTACAAAGGGTTTCTTGAGTTCAGGGCGAGGAGCCACGTGCCATTTGGTGTTTGCCTCCCTCTGAACAGTAACTAACCCTTCGTAGCCCCCTCAGCTGTTGAAGCATTTCCCCTGACCATCTGTGGAGGTGGAATTATTTTTTCATCAGTTCTCTCCCTCCGTCAAAGCAGTTATGTCCCCCCCTCGTCCCCATTCCCTGCTTCCCTTCCCTTGTTCCCCCACCCCACTCTTTCTCAAACTCTCCCTCAGAATCTGCAACAGCTGGAGGCTGCTATCTCTTAGCTAAACAGGCTAAGCAAGGAGCAAGCTGAAAAGAATGCATGCCCTAGCGTTGGGCCAGAAAGTAGCACCACAGCTCTTAAAGGAGGAGAATGGCTTGTTTTAAATAGAAATATTTGCAAATGAAGTCTCTTTCCCCCCAATCCAAATTATGATCTCAGTGATCCATATATCATATCTATAAGCCAATGTGGACAGGCTCTGATTTTTTTTAAAGCCACATATTGGCCTTACAGCTGACTGGATAACTCAATGAGTTAGACATTTGGTTGGAAAGACAGTACAGTAGTTGGAAATTCAATTCCCCGCTGAGCCTCTCAGGAGAAGAGCCCAGGTATGTACCCTTAGGCAACCCGCATTGTCCCAGGGTGCCCCTAGAAGGAGTAGACCACTTTTGCATAATCTCTACCTAGAAAACTCAGAATCCATTTGATGGCACATTAAAAAAAATTGACCCTAGATGTTATAGTTTGAGAACTGCTCCATCTCATACCAGAGTAAATGTTCACGCCAGTGCATCAGGATTAGCAGTGTTACTGTCCCATATCTGAAAGATTACTTGATCCCACATGAAATGGTATTATATCAAGATGCTAGTGAGAAACCCATTTCTTTGTTGGGCAGCTAAACGACTGGGTAAAAGGCCTATTCTTTGGTGACCTACCTTGAAAAATGAATAATGAAAGAAGGCAAGAGATAAATACAATTAAAACTGTTTATGGTTTGTTGTTTCCTCCTCCTTCTGTAGAATTAAAGTGAGCCAGGACGGACAATTTCTACATTATGTCTTCCCTTACCAATTCCTAGATTCCCCAGAGTGGGAATCACTGCCGCCTTCTGAAGAGGGAACATTTCAGGTAATATTGCAAAATTCTTCACAATTTTGTGCATCTTTTCTATTTAGAAATGCAGAAGAGAGTCTGGGGTTCAAACAACTGCTCTAGTACATAGTTCTGTGGCCCAAATATTGTTGTGTTAGTGTTTCCTGAACAGTAAACATGGCCACACCCGGCCACACTAATGCCACACAGCAAGCTACTTTCTAGAGCATCTCCAGATGTTCTTGGGCTACAGCTAATTAATGGAACAAAAAGGGATGTTGCCAAAAATGGAGAACAATTCCAAAGTCATAAAAAGGAAGTGGGGGAAGGATACAGATTACAACTTTTGAACCAGAAATCCACAGAACCTAAGAACTTACTCTAACCTAGAAATAAGTCCAGAATTGTGAAATGTCTACTTGTGAGTTGTGGGTAAAAACCACCACTTCGAATCATCCTCCACCCTCCTTACAGTCAGATTGAGCCTACACTTTCCCATTCATTCTACATACTTCAGAGCCATGAGGTAATTATGGTTAATCTCCTTTGAACCCAATGGTGGTGGTGGTGCTGACTAAAGAAGCCCAGGTAACAATAGCCATAGCCTGGAGCTGTAAGCAACTCATTAACATACATCTGGGACCATCTTGCTTAAACAGGTGTTGGGAAGTCCCAAGAATTTCTTCCCACAGTCCCAACTTTTTAAGGGAGAGTTAAAGTCCATTTGTTACAAAGCCGAACTGTTTTCTTTACAGCGTGTTTAAGTTTGCTTTTTGGATCCTAGCCAGAGGAACAAGTGATGGGCTGTGCCAAGGGTTAAGAGTCAAAGGAGAAGTAGCTGGCCTGCCTGAGGAATGGACTTGCCCATAAAAGCTCACATTCAACTATAGCAGTTAGTCTTTAAGGTGTTACCACGCTTTTGTTTTCTTTATTTTTTTTATTTTTCTTTGGCTTGCTTTTGTTTCCCTTGAGCTCTCTGTTTTAATCTGTGTGGATACAAAATGACAGTGGCATTCTACTATCCCTATTATTATAATGAAATAAATATAACATTATTTTAAAATAATATGTTTTGGGTGTAATAACATCCCTATTAAACATAAAGGTTCCCCTTGACATTTTAGTCAGTCGTGTCCGACTCTAGGGGGCGGTGCTCATCTCCGTTTCCAAGCTGTAGAGCCAGCGTTTGTCCGAAGACAGTTTCCGTGGTCACGTGGCCAGCGCAGCTATACACGGAATGCTGTTTACCTTCCCACCGAGATGGTACCTATTTATCTACTCGCATTTACATGCTTTTGAACTGCTAGGTTGGCAAGGAGCTGGGACAAAGTGACAGGAGCTCACTCTGTCGCATGGATTCGATCTTACGACTGCTGGTCTTCTGACCTTGCAGCATGCAAAGGTCTCTGCGGGTTAGCCCACAGCGCCACCACGTCCTTTCAACATCCCTATTAGTCTAACGCTAATATGAAATTAGGTAAGAGTAGGAGATGCACCTTTGTATATAAGATTTTCCAAAAATACTTAATCCAATTCAGTCTTATTCAAAATATGAATAATGCATGTATCATAGAATCACAGAATAACTGAGATCAAAGAGGCCTATAAGGCCATAGAACCCAACCCCCTGCTCAAGGCAGGAATACAAATCAAAGCAGATCTGACAGATGCTTGTCTCCTCGTTTATGATATTCGTCCCATGTAGCCACTGCAGACCTCTCTCCAGAAACTCTAGTTGATGGTACAGGCACATACCTTCCCTACCTCTACCAAAGGTATGATAAAACAATAAAATACTCACATTTCTTCCTGAAGGAATTTCAAAGGAACATTCTGAGAAAGGAATTTCCACTGGATTTAGACCTCTGCACACTTACTGGGGATGATATCAGGAAATATTACAAGTACATAATGTGGCAATGCTTGTTTAGCTTGTCTTGGAAAGATCCCATGGACTTTAAATATTTTCTATATTAGTTCCTTGCTACCTATCAGGTGGTCTTTGGCAGAGCTTCAAACTAGACTTTTGTTGTTCTCGTTGTTTAGATACATAGTTGTGTATATCTTCCCCCCCCCCAGTGTTTTGTGTATTTTTAAAAGTAGCATGGCCATGTAGTGCCTCAGAATCACCCCTTCCTCGATATCCAATAACCGAATTTCTCCTTGCAAGATTTTATTAAAAATAAAATGGACGGAAGGATACAGATTGTCTGTCACGATGTACTTTGGCTTCCAGAGTGTGAATTGGGTGAATTATTGATCAGTCCTGACAATGTACAAACACAGCAATGTTTCTCTTGCTGCTTTGAGGTATCAACAGAGTCAAGGGTGTTTGAGGTATTTCTCTCGTAGCTCCAAAATTTGTTTTACCTGAAAATGGAAGATTAAGCAGACGTATAGTCACCAGCAGGGCAGAAAACCAACAACCCAGCCATGTGTAGCCCTCACGCTATATTCAGTTCAGGCCACAGAGCTCCAAGATATACACAAACTCTAATCCTCATTGGTTTCCTTTTGAGATTCAACTCACTGAAGCATATCTATTGACTACTCTCATGAGCAAAACCTAATGGGGAAAAAATGGCATAGGTGCTTATTAAACCACTTGCAAGATATATCCACACCTTTTTGCACCCTGCAATACAGAAAATGCCTACTCCAAAATATCAAACGAGATGTTATGAGAAGTGTGCGTTCTCTAAGATTAGCTCATTTCAGCATCCACAATGTGATTTCTTCAAAAGCCAAAACCACACCCTGGAGAAAAACAGGGTGAAATTCACAGTAACTCTTGTCACTGCACATGACACAAGCCCTGCTTGGTTTTAAAATGGTGCCCACTCCGGACTTCTAAAAGAGCTTGCATAGCTTCCCAACAGGGCATGCGGATGCTGAGGGAGCAGTAGATGTCCCACCAGGAGGGACTTTCTTAGACCTCTTCTGTACACAAAAAGGTAGAGGGCATCCTTCAACAAGGAATTGTGGGCAACTCCTGGGATACGGGATGATGAGTAAAGGGAGGGAGTGCTGGCCTTGACAGCTGCCTGGAAAACACAGGTGAAGGAGCCACTGGCCACCATTACCAGCATCGTTTGATCTTTTCCACCTGCTTGGAGTCCCATAGAGAAGGCATCTGATTAGCAGGTAAGTATTTTAAGATGCGGCACTGAAGAGCAATGATGCTACAGAACCATTCATGCTGTTCTGTCTGGGTGGTTAATGGCTATGGACTCCAGAGGTGCATATCCCACTGCAGATCAGCTCCCTGTCTCTGATGGCTGCTGGTGGCAGCTGTGAGGGCGAGACTGAAATGGCTAAGCTCAGCTGATGCTCCCACCAAGGCACTGCCAGTAGCCTCCCAGCACTAGCTGGCTGGTGACATCCTGCTTTAATGCAAAGAATTGCAATAAAGCAGGACATGTGGTATAAGCAAGTCCATACCTGTCTGCTGCTAACCTGCAGTTAAATACCTTTGCTGTGGGTTACTGCAAACATGCCGTTCCAGCCAGAGATAATGTGCCACGGCAATCAGACAGACAACTTAAGTCCATGCTTATCTTCAATGACCAATTGTCAAACCAAGCAGGCTGGAATACAAGATACGATGGTGGGGAAAATCGCATGCTGTGACAACCGGACATTTATTTATTTTATTTATTTATTTTATTTATATCCCGCCTATCTGGTCGTGTGAGGACCACTCTAGGCGGCTAACAACATAAGAATAAAACAGTAAAATACTGTAAAATACATGCTTCAACACTAGAGGAAGCACTGGTTACAAATATACACCAGGCTTTATTATCTTGTTTGAGCCTTAGAGAGCAATTTGTGCAGTCAGCAGTTTGACTGGAGAGCTCGAACATCAATTAATTTCTAAGACGATTCCTCCCCTGCTCAGTGGTCAATTTCATCTCTTCCTATGTTTGCCACCCTGCTCTAGCTTTGGACCCGTTTTGGGGAAGACCCAGGAGTATTCAAGATTTTGTTTTGCTTATGCTCAATTCCAATGGGGGAGTGGGGCTCAAAAAGAACCTACACAGGCTTCCCCTGATTGTGACCAACACTATCAGTCACTCGGTTATTCTTTCTTTCTCACCTTCTCGCTTTCTCTCATTTTTTGGCTTTTTTGTTGAGCATTTCTTGATAAGAAGCTGCAGCTTGTAATCTAAGGGCTTAGGTGTCTTAGCCATCACCAGATCAGATCCCAGCAAAAACCTGGGCAAAAGTCCCCTCTTATCCTATATTCGAGTGGGGCTCAAAAAGAACCTACACAGGCTTCTCCTGATTGTGACCAACACTCTCAATCAGTCACTCGGTTATTCTCTCTTTCTCACCTTCTCGTAGGTGTCTTAGCCATCACCAGATCAGATCCCAGCAAAAACCTGGGCAAAAGTCCCCTCTTATCCTATATTCTGCTTTTATTCAATTTCTTTTCCAGCTTCACTAGCCCTCCTCTAAATATCATGGTAAAGTATAGTCTATGTTCTGACTTCCTTTCCTAATCCACTTAGGCTTTCCATATGTCTATCTGGTTTCTACCGTCCATTTGTCAGCCATCACCAGATCAGATCCCAGCAAAAACCTGGGCAAAAGTCCCCTCTTATCCTATATTCTGCTTTTATTCAATTTCTTTTCCAGCTTCACTAGCCCTCCTCTAAATATCATGGTAAAGTATAGTCTATGTTCTGACTTCCTTTCCTAATCCACTTAGGCTTTCCATATGTCTATCTGGTTTCTACCGTCCATTTGTCTTTGTATTTAGCCTTTTCCTGCTTTCATCAGAACGACCTTTTCTTCCCTTAACTCTTCTTCATATCCCAAATCATTGCATTTGTCTTTGTATTTAGCCTTTTCCTGCTTTCATCAGAACGACTTTTTCTTCCCTTAACCCTTCTTCCTATCCCAAATCATTGCTGCTATAATCTGAATACAGTTGGTGTGTCTCCCGTATTGGAACAGTGGCTGCAAGTCTAAAAGTCTGTAGGTCGAATCTCCATTGACCTACAATGCATTGAAAACCAATTAATCCCATAACTGGCAGTTTTTATTCTATTTTTGTTCTATTTTGGTTTATGTCTGGTCTAAGTCGAATCTAAATTTTGTGGCCAGAGAAGTCTGTAACTGGAAAAGTCTGTAAGTCGAGCCGTCTGTAAGTCGAGGGTCCACTGTAATCTGAATACCATTGGTGTGTCTCTTTTTCCTGCTGTGTAGTAAGAGTTATATCCTGTAACTCTTGTCTCATAAACCCTCCTCTTAGAAAAGTCTATTTTTGCTGTAGCCAACCATGACTCTTTGTCAACAATTACAGCTTGGGTTATCCTATGTTTTGCTGTGTGCTTGTAGTGGATGAGAACACAGTGACACCCGAGGAGTTATTCTTTTTCCTTGTTATGTTTTACTCTGTCAAGAACAGCAGAAATTGAGTTTTGATTAATTGAAATAAAAGTAGATTTCTTTACCATATGGTTTTGTTACCAGGCCCTCTCAGATGCTGGAAAATGTAGTGAGCAAATGGGGTTTCTGTGCCTTGAAGTCTGCCAGAACTACCTTAAGAAAGTTCTCATACACTGGTTCTGCTGTGTAATCAGGCCAAAGCAGCTGCCTTCTTGGCTGGCGCATTAAATATCAGACTCAAGGACATACGTGTCACTTGTTCATGTTCAGCTTCCCAAAGCACCATTCCTTGGTCGCTGGCCAAGGGGACCCCTGGAGGAGGGAGGCACTAATCTCATTTTATCTATCTGCATGTCAGTGTCTCATTCACCCACTCCACTGAATGAAACTTGGCAGACATTTAAATAGTTAAGTAGCACAGGCTAGGTAAATATCTTGTGGGTCTTAATCTTCCAAACTACCTTCAAAAAAATTAGAAGTGGCTCTGACGTAAACCATTACAGATAATACTTTTACATATGCCTCACTTTCTTAATCCAAGAAGATTAAAGGTCAAGATTTTTATAGAAGCAGCATTTTTATGTTGGAGAACACTGGCATCCTCATTGTCTTGTAAAGAAAGCAAAGGTCAGAGGAGAATGGTGTAGATACAGAAGCATCTTGTAAGGAAACATTAAGAATGCTGTAGAAGCTTGGCCCGGTTTGCAGGCTTAATCCAGATTCAAGTTCCAAAAGAATGAGGGCCCCTCTTTATGTGATTAGAAACTCTCTGTTCAGGGCAAAGAGCCCACTGCGTGTCTCATTCAGATTGCCCAGTTACTTTAACCAGATGCTTTAAATAGTATCCAGTACTGTAGTTCCTTTTTTAAAAAAAGTGCAGCGGCTAATGGCAAGAAATGAACCACATGGACAAACGTTTCTTGATATCTCTTCTGTCTTTCATAGGGAAGTTAACAGAAGGGGAACAATCTCAGTCAAGTCAGCAGAACAGTTTTTGGACTTACTTACTTATGTATTTGTTTGTGTGCTTGTTTGTTTGTTTATTTATTTCAGTTTCCTCTATGTAAGAAAAATCATTTGTGCTTTTGCTGGCTCGGATTGTTCATTGCTACATGCATTAGTGGCGTAAGGTCTAATTTCCTCCTCAGAGCCCAGATTCAGACCAGTAAACTTGTTCTACTTGATTTTACATCAAAAGGCGGGGGATATATGTATATATATTTCATGTTCACACTCACATGAAATGGGGTGGGGGAGTGAGGATGGGACCCAGAGCTTTAAGAACTTTACTTTTTCATACTACAGCTCCCAGAATCCTCTAGCCGATGTGGGCAGTTCCATCTTCTGCAAGGTAACCCTTCCAGCCTCTGTGAAAATCCAAGCATTTTCTGCAGTTACATGCAATAACTGGGGATGAGGCAAAAACAAAGAGTTCTAGTCTAATTGTTAAAATGTTGATTCCGGTCTGTAGTAAAAAGATACAATTTCTTATGAAAATCATTCCAGGGTCTTTGATTCTGAACAAACTTTGTCTCCCACCTTTGCTGTTTTTCCATATTCAGAAGCTTTCGATACCCACTCTCCTGGAGAAAGGGAGGTGTGTGTGTTTTTAATTTATTAGCAATTTGATATGATTTTTGCAGCAACAATTAGTGACTTATAAATCTTCACCGCTTCCCCCTCCAAATGGCGTCAAATAACTGATAAAGCATCACATTTTAACCTCCCCCTTAAAATGACTATTATTATTTATATTGGTTTTTGTTTTGGAAATGAAACCTTACACAATGTATTTCAAAAGGATGAACACATCTGCTTACATCTTGAGTTCCCCTCTATCCAAGGCTCCTTTCAGGCATGTTTATTGCAAAATCTCTTTTAGCATAAGCCGTATTAAGACTTAAAATCAGAATGAATTTCCTCTAATGGATTTGGAATCATACCTTTTCCTGCAAAGGACAGTACCTTAGTTAGTGGACCTTCAGGCCGCATTGGTGGGCTTGTTGCTTTAAAGTATGAATATCTGAGACCGTTGTCATTTCTCTCTTTTCCTTGACAGGTAACCCTGACAGCCGAGGCAGACTGTACTTTCATCTCTTGGCAAAGGAAGAAGCTTTACGCGCTTCTGACAAAGGACCGCTACATTGCCCGTATCTTCTCAGTCCTCCTTGGCTATGACATTTCAGAGAAGCTGTATGCCCTGAATGAAAAACTTTTCGCTAAGTTTGGCCTGCGATTTGACATCCGTCTGCCTAGCCTTTACCACGTCCTAGGGCCGGCCTCTTCAGACACTGAAGTGGAGAAAGAACCAAGGGAGTGCGAAGAGCCACCGGTGCCCTCATGCCACCCACCCACTTTTGTCCAGACAGCTCCTGCAGCCCCTCGCGCTAGATCTCTTCCATCCCATCCCAGAAGATCTCGGCCTGACAGTGACCTGTCTGGTGAGGACTCTACCAGTCTTGTACTGGAAGATTTTGCTGAGTTGACAGGGTCCTTTATGGACTATGTGAGCGAAGGGGAGTATATGAAGTGAGGGCACTGCTATCATGGGCACACGTCACCCTGTGTAAGTAAGTACTCTTTGTGCCTTTAGCAGGAAACACCGCTGTGTAGTATGTGCTGGGAGGTGGTGGCGCTGATGGGTCTAGCAGGCTGTGAGGATCTTCTGTGCTGGTGAGTTATCCCCAGCATCCCAGCCCCTCTGAATCATAAGCCCATGGTGGTGGATGTCCCGTCACTGCCACCCATTAAAAGAGAAGGGGACACATCCTGGTGGGACCAAGCCCAGAGTTACAAAGTCAGAGGGAAGGAGCAAAGCCCACCCAGGGAGGCTTTTTGTAAAGAAATATCTGTCACTGCTGATTTTAGCACTGCTTGTCCAGGGGCCATCGCAAGATCCTCGTCTTGATTGCCTTGCTGATTGCTTAGAATAGGATGGTGGGAAGGGGAATGGCACACCACTCTGGGGGTGGGGGGGGGAAAGAGATTTTTGGCTTTCCTGGAAGGCGGTTCTCAAAAAGTGTTCTTAAGAATCTGCAGGGCTGTGTTCGTTCACCCTGTTGCCCATGTGCTGAATACTTACATGATACTAAAGGCTAGGTTGTTCTGGAGATTTGGGGCATTGCGCCATCACAAGGGCACCATAGCTTTCACGTCTCCTCTTCATCAAATTCTAGTGAGTCAGTAAAATGTCTGGAATTGGTGACGATCTGTATGAAAATGGTCTATTGAATGAAAATGTCATCTAGAGACAAGACAGAGCTACAGCTAGCTGGTCTGGGAGTGAGGCGTAGAGGCTGTTTTGCATGGGGCTATACTCTCCTTTAAGACACTGACAAATTGATTGACTCCTGGATCCAACACAGCTCCTGGATACCAAGCAGTCAGAACTCTGTTAATCAGATAAAGCCTGTTTGCTAGCTGTTCTTTTTCCTGGATAGGATCCATCTGGTCTTAATAGCATCTGGATTTGATTGGCATATAATTCTGTGACTCCCTTAGCAAGCTGCATGAAAACAACCATGATATAGAAAGCAAAGCAAACAACACTATTGATTTAGGGCATGTCCAGACTGGCTAAATAGAGTTGGTTAAGGCTTTGTGTGGAGATATGCCACTTCCTGCAATCCTCACATCCAAATGGCATTTTGACCTCAAGGGACCCTATTTCCAGTATTCTGAAGTGGCACATTTGTGTCAACCTTTGGGAGAAAGGAAAACAGGGTAGGTTTAATTATGGCTGGGGAAGGGCAGGCAGATGAGGTGGAGAAAGAGAGGGAGGCAATCTGCCTGTGGGGGTGCAAGGGGAGGAAAGCAGCTGGTTGCCAAAAGCCGACAGACACCCACCTGCTCCTTGTGCTCCCATTTGGCTGCACTGAGATTGGAGACAGGGAAGGGGGGGAGCAGAGAGGAAGAAGCAGGACACACAGAAAAGGGGTTTGTGCAATCTCCCAACACCCACCCCTCTTTACAATCTCACTATTAGACACAAAAGAAAGGGGTCCTCCCCCTTTTTGGCACTTTGTATTGTACACACACATACACGGGGGGGGGGAGAGGAGGAAGAGGAGGAGGAGGAGATGAGGGTTGCTTGGAGGGCACAAATCAGATTAAAAAGGAAAGGGTGTGCATGCATCAGAGCAAGAGACCTCCCCAAGATGATTTCTGTGTCTGTGTAAAAATGAAAGCGACTCTGAACACTGTTGCAGATCCACGCACTCCTCTCCATTGGCACTTTGCCTTCCAGCCATACTCATCTTTTCTGCTTCTATTTTGCATGCAACAGACAAAAAACCATGGAAAAAAGAGGCGCAAAAAGTGAATGACAAGAATATGTTTTTCTTTTATTTCTTAAGTTGCTAAGGCATTTTTAAAGTTGTGGGCATGTGCAACCCCGCTCCCCCATGAGATGCTTTCTCGCTCTATCTTCTGGCAAAATATTTATAACAGAATCAGTGAAGGGGTAGGGGTGGGAGAAAGAGAACAAATGCTAGACCACCGCTGATGCACTGAATCTCTTAGACAAAGTTAATTTTTTCCCTTGTATGTAGTACCAATCAAGAAACTGTCTGCAGCTGCAGTTTTGATAGGCACTTCATGCAAGGGCAAAGAAAATAGTTTTTTAAAATTCAGCCCAAGCAATCAATGATAGTCTTAAGAGATGCAAAAAATTATTAATTTCACTTCCCCTGCCCCTCCATAGAAGAGCAGGGGAAGTGTTCAATTCTCCAGTATCCAGAAAGTGGCTTGCTTACGTATTAAGCCATTTCCTAATAAAAGAAATTGAAACCAGAAGAAGCTTTGAGAGCAGCAAAACTTGATGTTAGCCCATCCCCAGCAATGGTGCACACTGGGAACAAACTAAACTAGAGCACACCAACCTGTACCAAAAAAGCAGAAGCCCCTGATGGGCTCAGAAAGGAGCAGGTTGAGGGTGACCTGGGGGTGAATTGGTCCACTCATTGTATGGCTGCCAGAAGACAGAGCGAACCAATCTGCCCCCCATGCCACAACACACCAAACAGTGGGACAAATGCTGGTCTGGACCTGCCCTTAGTTGGATTCCAAGCACAGTTCAGTATGCTAGCTTTGAACTTAAGAGTCTGGCCCACTAGGAAGCAACTCCCACCAGCTCTAGCCAGCATAGTCAGCAGTGCAAGGTCATGGGAGTCTGAACACATCTGGAGGGCCATAGTTGCCCATCTGTGGTCCACGTCATAATACATCAAGAACATCTACCCCTGTAATAAGCCTACTGTTTCAGTTTTGTGTTGTGCACAGGTTTTTGTAACTCTCATTTCCTGCTTTTTGTAGAGTCTCGATACTGTGTTGACCATTGTTCATTTATTCATACTACTCTTCTTGTTACAAATTTCAACATTGTGTTTTAGATTATTTGGTAGTCAATTGTGGGTCAAAAGGCAGGCTATGAATATCTGAAATTTATATAATGGGATCCAGGAAGAACAGTATTTGGGGACGTCAATTTCTTTTAATCCTCTACCAAATACCCTTCATTACCAAACTCCCTGTGGGCCCACAGCAGTCATGCACATAATAGAGGATGACCTTCTACCTCACCAAAAAGGAGGACACGCACATCTAAAAGAGCACCAATTTTTAATGCTAATATAGATGCACAGATGCAAAATTAGAAGTGATGTTATCATTTAAACAAACTACTATACATCTCATCCAAGCGGGGGAAGAAAATGACTTGTGTGACTGCTGACTCTGCAGTATAAAAGCAAACCATGGATGGGCAATGTCATGGTTTCTGATGTTCCTCCTCAATGCTTCTTATCTTAAATCCAACTTGGCCTGGACAGTCCTTCGAATATACTGTTCTCTGTAAAAAATGACACATGGCCACCCCCCCAAAAAAAAAGTACTTGGAAAGAGGAGGAGGAGAGACAAGGAGGGATGTCCAGAGCTTCTGTCCTCAGTGAGCCCAGATTTCTTCTCTTCACATATTCCTTTGAATGGGCCTATGTAGTAGGAAAATGTAGAGTATTATACATATTATAGATTGTTGTTAGGTATATGGGCTATTGTTGGAGGGAAGGATTGGTTTGGCTGGACACTTAGCCTTTTAAACTATGAAGGAATTTATAAAGGCTTTGCAAATTCACTCAGAGGAAGAGAATAGTTCAGATGGAAGGCCCTATTAGCACTGATCGTTTATTCCAGAACTGAGCCTATATTTATGAATTAATTGCCACAATTAAGAATGCCAAAATTTTTCTTCCCACAGCTTCTGGACGCCTCCCGAGGACTAGTCCCCAAGCTGCTGCAAAAGGACAAGCCCCTCTGGCCTCTACTCTGACCCCAGAACTCTAGGGAAAAATGTCGAATCACTAAGACCCACTCACAACTGTATGGTCACTCAAGTCTAATCAGAATGATGCACATTCCTTGTGTGTTGACATTTATATTGCACAGGCACCAGCATGACACTTTTCAAGGACATGCATGAGACTAAAGCACAGAGGTCGGACATGCCCCACAGCTTGCTGATCTGCAGTGGCACCAGTGGCTCCAGAGCATTTGTACACCTGAATACTTGCCACACGGATCTTTTATTAGGTGCATGAAACATAGTGGAAAGACAATGTCATAGATATCAGTGGGATTTGCTCTCTGTCAAGGGTCTGTTAATTCTCTCCTAATTTTCTGCGGTTTGTCCCATTAGAATTAAACCTAATAGCTATGGTGGTGGTGGTGATGCGCAGGCCAGCTGGAATGCTCTTGGGTTGAGAGAATTCTCTGCACCCACCCCATGGAATACTCTTGACTCAAGGGTGAGCAGTTCCTCACTCCTGCTGCACAAGACTGCAAAGGGTAGATTTAAACAAGCTCTGTGTAAAAACTGCTATCTTGGGCAACAGTAGCCTTAGGCATATGGTGCATGGGAACAAGCAAAGCTCTTTTTACAAAGTTAGTTTGTTTTTTTTTAATGAGGAAATCCTCGTGAATGCTGACCATGGTGCAAAAGTGTCCATGGTGCCCTCGAGCATCAAAGGAAAGGGTTTGGAAAATGGAACAGATTCACTCAATGTTTTGCTATTATTGGCATTATCTGGATAAAATTAGATGAGTTGCTGATTCTGTATCTAGAAGCCGGCATTCTCTCAAGTGGAAGAGGATGTATAGTTATAAGATCACATTATTTCCCTCGGCTAAGGAGACTTACAATAGACGATTGGAATGGAAACACCAGCTTTCTTTTTAGGTTTGATTGCTGAGTCACATACAGTACATCACAAAAGTGATATAAGGTGAGATGAAAAATATTGTAAGAGCAGGAAATAGTTTTGTCAGAACCTATGAATGATTGCTTTTAACCTTGAAAATCAGTGACCGGAACGGAATAAACTACTCCAAGTGAGCCGAAACCTACCATGAACAGAAAGATAACATGAGTGTGGAATCATGACACTAAGCCATAAAGCCAATTTGTCAACAGAATTTTAATATTGTTTAAGCCTTTAATTGTTTAAGGTGAGGCAGAATGTACACGTTGTATATCCAAAGCCACAATGCCATCACTACTGCTTGAGAAAGATATATGGTAGAAGGTAACTTCCTCCAAGGAGACCGTGTTGGGTAGGGATGCTGTTCTTGGGGATGGGGGAAATGCAACATCACAGCATAGATAGAAATGAGGAACCTCTTCTGGACTTACAGGGGAAGGAAGAGGATGAAAAGGCTCATTGCCCCCTCCCATGGCTCTTCTTGGGAGAACTACATCTCCCATAGTCCTATGCATACTGTTAGCCAATTCAGTGGTAAGTTATAGAAGGAAGCATGAAAGCCTTCTCCTGCCATCCACCTGTACTCCTGCTATTCCCACTGCCACCAAATAAAAGGGTGGAAGGGGGAGGGTTTGAAGTGGGATAAGCAACCCAACATCCTTCTTCTGTCAGTGGACTGCAACTCTCAACAGCCCCCACCATAATGGCCAAAGACCAAGCAAAAATTGTATGTAGAATTTCAAAAATTCTACATCCAGTTTTGAATGGAGACCTTGGATAAGCAGCCATGTAAGATTTGCCAGGTTTGCAGCTGCCTGTTGGTGTGATCCAGACTACAACAGCTGTTGCATTCCCTTAGACAGATTGACATAATTTTTTTTTCTCATTAAAACACATAACATCCTATCTGGAAGACACCAGAGTGAGGCAGGAAGGTATTGCAAGTCCTGCCTTCATTCTAATTTGGCCTCATGATGATGTCACCATGTCCATGTATAACATCGGAATGTATTAGGTAAGGCACTGCAAAAGGATACAAAGAGCTATGGGAATAAAGAGTTGGTGAAACCACAGCTGGAAGAAGGGCCAATTTTCAGTCCTTGTTGTCTAGTTTGTAATATCTCCCCTCGATTTTATACACACACACACCCTTGTTGTTTTTAGTTTTGAGAGGATTGGCACAATTGTGTCCAGCCCAAGTTGTATTCAAGTCTCTTATTTCCTCATTGATGTCTGTGGACAGCTCTTTTTCACTATCCCTAGGAACATTTTTAAATACTGTAGTTTTCTCATGTGGACCAGAAATTGAACTATCCTGACCGTGTGATGGTTTTCTCTACCTCTTTTCTGTGGGCTTACCTCCATTTTTTCTGGATCATTTTGGCTTTTGTTGTTGTTGCAGATTTGAACAGATTATCTTGATCTTTGCACCCATACCTGGGGCAGTATTTGTTGCTGGATATACTGGGACGCACTGGGTTGTCTCAGTACTGCTTGTCCACACACATCCAGAGTTGTTTCTTGAGTTAGTCCACAGACTGTCCTCCCGTTTGCCTCTCTTCTCCGCCCTCTCCCCACCTACTTCATTCTTTTCCTCCCTCCCCTCTTTGTCAACAGAGCAGAGAAGGGAGGAGATGGACCAAAGGAAAAATGGCCTTAAAACCCTATAATTTAAAAAAGCCACACCTGCTCACGAGGTGAGCAGACCAGCATGGAACAATACGGTACGAAGATCCACACATGCAGATCCTGCCTGGGAGCAAATCAGACCAAAAAAAAGTATGATTTTTTCCCCCGCTCCTCTTTGATTCTAATCCCAGCACTGCATTCTGTGGTCAGTGCTGGTGTCAAGGGTGTCCGTCAAGTGGAACAAATGCTTGGCTCAAAATGATTCTCCTTTCTTCTTTTCTTTCTTGACACCCCATTTCCACCTCATTCTTTTCCTTTTGATGTTTCAACATTCTGTCACACCGAGTCACCTTTGGCCAGGGAGAGGGGCTCTTATTTCCCCCCCCCCAAAAAATTGTCATTCTCCTCAAAACCACAGAATCACCTGACTCTGCTTCTGCCTTCCTCTTCTGCATAGGGATTACATTCATCATTTGCTTGCTATACTTACAGAAGAAAAACCTGAATCGGAATTAGGGTGGGGAAAGCGCATGTCCAATAACACTTGGAAAGGGTCACTTTGCAGGAGGGGGGGGTCTCTCATAAAGCAACCCTTCTGTTCACTGGTGGAATCACTGTAGTCTGGCTGCAAAAAAGTACTAACCCTACAGCTGGGCTAAAAAAGGTCCAGTTGGGGCATAGATTAGGGTCAGGTCTTAAGTGCAAATCCCTGGATGTCGTGTGATCGCTGGGAAACAGATCCCATTGGGTCACTCCACAAGTGCTCCAAAATGTGAGCTATTTACCCATAGGATCAAACTGTTGTATAGAATGATTATGTTATTACCAATAGACTTTGGGTTTTTTTCCTGTAGCTGAGTGGTGGCTACATGTTGAAGACAGACACAGCTTTTTTTTTTTTAAGGGAGCTCTAACAACATCCATGAACCTATTTCTATGCTGCCTTACGCAACAGAAATAACAAGATGCGCACAGTGGCAAACTAAATGCTGACTCAGCTGTCAGCTAATTTTTAATTTTCATCATGCATTGCATCACCAGATTTGAAAAGAGAAAGGTTTTGAAACTGCAAATTCACTCTGGGGAGTTTGCAAGAGGGAATTTGGTAATATCTGGGGGCACGACATCAGCACTGTGCACACCAGCCAGTATTTGCTGCCAACCTTAACCAGCAGAATGTACCCACTTCCTAGACCTTGGAGACTGAATGCACATAATACATAATCCTACCACTGTATACATGTTGCTTCTGTCTCGTCCACAGTCGCCTAATTGACGAGCTTTACTTAAAAATAAACATTCTAAATTTCAATGGTGATTCAAAAACATTTGCTGCTTCTTTGAGCCCCTTCTTTGTCTTCAGCTCAGAAAACGTGAATTCCCATCAGTTTCAGTGCAGTACTTTTGATTTTTGACCGTCTTTGATGTTAGGGCCCTGCTCTTGTTTTGTATCCATTAAGTAAAGTTGTGATGATCACAAGCTATGGCAAGGTCATGGGAAAGGGGGCTGTTTTTTGGCAGGTTCAGGATCTGAGATAAACAGAACATCTTCCTGAAAGAAGAAAAGACTCAAGTTGAGATGTGTCCAGAAGACCAATAATAAGTAATATTAACAGTATTTAAAGAAGTAATTTAAAATTCATAATGTACGCCTAAGGTCTGTGGAACTTTAATGCCTCCGATACAATCTGCCACGTGTTCCTAATAGTTCTGATTTCCACCGTTTATCTTTGTTCTTCGTTCTTTCGGTTGCCCTGAAGTGGGCATGCTGTGTTTTCTCCAAGGCTCCGGCTGGGATGTCTCTATTGCTGTCAACCAGCAACACAGACCACAACCCAGTTCATTGGTCATGGATGACAACAGTGTAGATCTAGATAATGATGTCATATGGAAGGAGCTGTCAATAGTAAGAATTTCAATTATTCTCATTGGGGCAAATGAAGAATATCCAGGTGTGCAGAAGCACAGCATCCCAAAGGGGTGGGAGGACTACAGAGGTGCTATTATTTCCAATTCGGACTTTTACATTTTTCCAGCCTATTGTTCCCAAAGGCTTCAGTGTTGTTTTCTCTCTTCAGCCAAGGGATGCTTGGATTTTTAGTAGAGGATAGGATTGCAGCAGCTAAGAAAAGCCACTGCTTTTTTTGTGAGTGTAAGCCCAAACAAAGACAGAGGTAATGGACCTTAGTGAAAATCTTAAGCACTGGAATGTGGTGAGGAGTAGGGGGGGGGACTATCCTCGAAAATTTTTTAGGGCTTCACATTTCCGACTTAAGTTGGAGAATGTGAAACAGCACGGAAATCCATGAGCAGATGGGAGTATTCAATGAAAACAAAAATTCAGATGGATGAACTAGACACTAGAGAAATTTATATTCCTTGCAGTGCATATTCTGTTTTCATTTATGATATTAAATAATAGTAGCCCAATTGCCCTTTTACAATGGGATTTTCTTAGAAATATGTTCCTCAACAATCAGATTTGCAAATTAAGCCCATAGTGACCTGTCACAAAACAAGGCAAGGCAACTGTAATATACACAGGTGCCGAAAGCAATGTGCTATGACAAATAGATATATTTTGCTAACTTCAAGGAATACAACTTTTAAAGGAGTCCTACATGTATTTTCTAATATGACTCTGAAGTAAGATAGGAAAATGGAGATGGAATTGAATGAGCACAGGGAGGATACAATAGAAATAAAGATATTAGATGGTGTTTGAAATGTGCCAGTTCCCTCCAAATAGCCATATCAGAAACAGTTTTCTACATCTTTTAAAATTTATTAAAAAGCAAGGTAGTAGCCTATTTACACCATATAAGCAACAGATTACTTGCTACACTCCATCCACAAAAGGTATAATCTCATTTATCTACACAATAGTAGTATATCAGGGAAAATGCTTACACAGACTAACATGACTACCTCTTCCAAAACAGTACTACTAGTTACAACTAAATATACAAATGCAGGGTTCTTAGCTGTCTCTTTCTGAATAACTATTGATCAGAACAGATATGTTTTTCTCTGCCTCCTGATCTTTGGACCTTATGGTTGCATGGATTCCTTCCTCTTTCAGATAGTTGAGAGAGCCATTCTCCCTTTTTATCCCTTTACTCTCCTGGTTGTAACTAATGATCAACTGCGAATAAAGTTGTTTTTTCTTTTTCTATTTAAGCTACTTGTAGAGTGATTTTTACATACAAAGGGCTAGTTTCATTGTGATCATAGTGGCTGGGTGGAAACTGGAATTTTTAGCTATTTCCTGAGATAAATTTAATGGAACAACCTATTAGGATAAAAATAATTATTCATGTTATTGCCACCCAGAGTAGACTATCTGTCTAGATGGGCAGGGTATAAATCTAATAAAATAAATAAATAAATAATGTTAAAAAGTAATGGAAAAGTCAAGGAAGAGAATGGATTATTTTGTCACCAATGTTATTGTATTGCTTTTTTCTTGTCAATCCACAATATATAGAACTACTGTCTTCCTTCAACACATAATGAAGCTTTAAAAATTATTTATTTATGTCATCTCAAAATGTGAGGGGCAGAGAAGGAGAGGGGGTAAACCAGCTAAGCATATATATAGTAGACTGATATTTTATTTTAAGTTTGGTGTCTGTTGTGTGAATTTAAATGTATTATAACTCGTGTGGTCTAAAACAACAGTAAATAAATCTCATATATAATCATCCAATAAACTGAAGATCTGTACATCATTTAGTGCAGGGGTCTCAAGCTCAATTTAACTGGGGGCAGCTGGAGGCAGAGTCTGGGTGAGGGTGGGCCGCATCAGATTTTCTGCCAAGCGGAGCAAGAGCCTGAGGAAGCCACCCAGGAGTTTCGTTAGCCTGGCTGGGGCTCCGAGGAGGAGGAGGAGGAAGCACCACTGGGTGCTGAGGCAGCCGCTGGCCGGGCTGGTGCTGGGGGTGCTAAGAGAGAAAGAGAGCCAGAGAGCCGCTTCCCTGGAAGAGGCGGCGGCAGATGCTGTTGGTGGCCTGGGAGGTGCTCTTCAAGGACAGGCTGGGAGCGAGCTCTGCTCTCAGGCATCGCTCGGTGGCAGCTCAGGCACTTGGGGGAAAGGGCCAGCACCGCGCCTCGCTCGCTGGCTGTCCCCCCAAGACAGCGCCTCTTGCACTCTCCATCCAGAACTGCAGCCTGTCAGCTGACAGACAGGTGGGCTGGCTGGCAGGCTGCAGTTCCGGATGGAGGGTGCAAGAGGCGCTGTCTTGGGAGACAGCCAGCGAGCAAGGCAAGGCTTTTTTTTTTTTTGACTCTTGACAGCAGAGGACGTGTGGGTGCTTTGGGGGGGCAGGCAAGGCGGGGGCCACAAACTATCATCCGGCGAGCCACAGATGGCCCCCGGGCTGCATGTCTGAGACCCCTGATTTAGTGTTTCAGAACTGTTCCTATGAAAAAAGGAAAATCCCTCCAGTTAATAGCTGAATGATGCACACAGCCCTGAACACTCTAAAATTAAAGGCAAAATGACTTTCCTCCCCATGCCGTGCTACTCCGTTGCTAAGAAAAACTTTAGAAAGATGCCTTTCAGCTTACCTCTTATCGACAGGCAACGAAGCAGTACAGAACCGGACAGAGATGGGGAGATCCTCTTTGTTCCTTTGCCAGGTCTTGGGACGATACCGCAGCATCACTTCATCCACCTTGCAGAGGGGGACAGAGTGAGTCAACAAGGCTTTCCCCAGCGTCTGATGCTTCGGTCTGCAAACCCAAGATAAGGGACATGTTGATGCCTTGGAAGGATCTCTTTTTGTGTGTGCATGAACTATATTTTTATTCAGCCACCCCAGCTTGCTGCAGAGCTGGTGGCCACGGGGAGGAATTTCCTCCCAGCAATCTTCCGCACTCTTTGATCGATACGTTCTTTTCCTTCCTGAACATTCCACATTTATTTTACCTTGGATGATCTGCTGAAACATGGTGTACTTTTTTCTTTCTTACTGGATGACTGAAGTTGTTGGTTTCCTGCCTTTCTATGTGTTTAATGCTATATTGTACATGTATACAATACATGTGGGTGTATTGGCCGGGTGGCCGGTGGAGCTTCTAGAAGACAGAAACTTTGGAAAAGGACTAGAGATTGTGCTCATTCATAAAGACCTGCAGTCACGCAATAGATAAGTTGATACTAGAGGACGGTGCTGTGGCCCCAGCACTTACCCAAGCTCTCCCCCTCCCCCCCTTGCTAGTTTGCATCCTGGGGGAAAATGGATTTCTTGGAATAAACTCTCCTATTCTGCAGTATTTTGCAAAAGGCTGTGGGCCGTCTACAATCATTTACCGCACCTATGTAGCATCTTGATACCTGATGTCACTAGAGCCCTTTGAAGGGTGACATATTTGATCCCGTACTCTTCCTGCTGCAATACCACGTGCACATGGGCTTAATCCCACAAAGAGGAATGTGAGTCAGTAGAATCACAAGTGCTCTGTTGCCACTCACATGATGACGCTAGTCTTATATGAAGAGTTGCCGCTAAGGAAGGTTATCTCAATGTTGACATCTGAAGTTGTTCTCTGCTGTAAATGAAATTCCACCAGACTATGGTACACTAGGCAAGAAAGAAATCACAAGTGATTACAGAGCACTGGATATCTTTAATATCAGTTACTGAAATAAGACTGCTGCTGGTTTCTTTATAAGACTGTCCAGGATTTACTTAGCCCCAAGGGCAGGTTCATTTAAAACATATAGGACAAAGGGATGCTCTTTTTGGAGAATGCCCACTGTAAAATATTCTTAACACTGCAGTTAAAATAGTGGCTGTTACTAGACCCTGAAACATCTGGCTCTAATGTCCTTGCCAGGCTTCATGTTGCTGTCTCACTAGGTTGAAGTACAAGAAGGAAGTAACACAGGATTCCTGGTCCACGAAGGGGAAATCAAGGGTGCATTTTCTAAAAAATAAATAATGAGTAACACAAACCGACTACGGATGTAGATTTTCACTTATTCCATTCTTGCTTGCAGATAAAAAACAACTGTGAAACTTTTCTAACAGGTGGATGAAATTACAATTACCTTTGCGCATTTTTCATATTTCAAGCTTTATCATTGGTGAAAAATTCACAGGCAGGTTTTGCTTAAAAAGCTTTTGGACAGACATCTGTATTTTATGCAGAATACATAGTTGTTACACTTCCTTCCTTTTTTGTTTGTTTGCATGCTTGCTAATGATGCTCTGACCAAAAAAGAAAAGAAAAGAAAAGAAAAGAAAAGAAAAGAAAAGAAAAGAAAAGAAAAGAAAAGAAAAAAGCATCTATTGCCAACTTTGGTTGATAGAATGTCTCACTGTGCCAAGACACCCTTACACCCTTTTAGTTGAGGATAAGAAAAAGTGTGAGTAACACTCAATGAATTTTAAAGCTGGCTAAACTGTTGCCTGTTTGATAACTGCAGGATCAAAGTGACCACATGCATGTGTGAAAGAATTACGAGAGACATGACACCACAGACAGATGTTTACCATCATGTTAAACATAATACTTTTCAATGAAGTCGATTCAAACATTCTGTTCCCAGTCTTAAAGAAAAAAGGAACAAAGATGGTTTGTGACTACACTGGAAAGTACTAGGTACATTTGGCTGCGATTTGAATGGCAGGCTTTATTATGCCTGAAATCGCACCTGGTGCTCACATAGGGGCTGTGGATTGGTTTGGGAGTTCACGCTTCATACCAGATGCAATGCAATTCCAGTCCACAGCCCCCTCCCCCATCTTCCATTCCATCATATGGTCCCATCATACCAGATGCAATGCAATTCCAGTCCATAGCCCTCTCCCCCATCTTCCCTTCCTTCATCTGGTCCCATCTCTGCTGATCGTTTTATGGCGTGTAAATACGGAAAATAATAATAATGATGAGCCAGTGAGAAGATGATTGAGTAATCTAGTGCTAATATTATAGATCTAAGATATATATTTTTTAAAAAAATAAAATTAATTTAAGAAAAAGATTAAAATGGAGGCCATAGCCCTCTCCCCCATCTTCCCTTCCTTCATCTGGTCCCATCTCTGCTGATCGTTTTATGGCGTGTAAATACGGAAAATAATAATAATGATGAGCCAGTGAGAAGATGATTGAGTAATCTAGTGCTAATATTATAGATCTAAGATATATATTTTTTAAAAAAATAAAATTAATTTAAGAAAAAGATTAAAATGGAGGACCATCGGGGAAAAGGAAATAAGGCAAGGGCAAGTTCGCCTCGGTCCTCAACATCACCCTCCAACTGCCTACATCGCTGAAATATCACCTATGGATACCCCACCACCACCTTTACAAGAATACACTACAACTAACCACACAGGAAAAAGATTAAAATGGAGGACCATCGGGGAAAAGGAAATAAGGCAAGGACAAGTTCGCCTCAGTCCTCAACATCACCCTCCGACTGCCTACATCGGTGAAACATCACCTATGGACACCCCCACACATACCTTTACAAGAATGCACTACAACTAACCACACAGGAAAAAGCCTGTCTGAATCACTGCAGCTTGAAAAAGTAGAAGCGCCCTCACGGGAGAGAGAAAAAACATAGTTGAATCCAAAGAAATTAATATGGTTTTACAAAATGGTGCCCCCCCGCACTATCTCCTTTCAGAATTCCAAACAATATTTACTGCCTAGGGGTGCAGGTTCATGGCACTACACGTAATTTAAATTAATTAAAACTTCCTCCCTTCCTGTATTTTAGGTTCCAAGTCTCCCTAAAAGCCCAGGACAGGGTGCACCCTCCAGCCGCAACCTGGTGGATGATTTTTGGTGATTAAGGGGCTTCTCCAAGACAAAAGGGAGCCCTAGGTAGCCATGGAACTTAAGGGTGGGGATAGGAAGCTTTAATTAATTTAAATTAAATTATACCGGCGCCAGATGATTATACCATCACGTTCCATTGCATAAGTTTACAACAGGATGTTGACTTTTATTGTACTTAGAAAACATCTCAAAGGGTTTAGTGTCTGTGACTTTCTGACTTTTAAGTCAACCTTGGATGACATTAAGAAAAAAACATAGATTCACTGGATTACTCACCACAGTAAGGTGCTGATGCAGCAGTGGCCAGGTAAACCTTTACCTCTGCAGGCATTTTTTCCATGTTGACTCCTCCATTGTTTAACAGTCCTACCACAAGAACACAAGAAACAGTATGGAATGCCAGGACTGGACTGGACATTATTGATTGTTCTGCAAATGTGGAACGTGACACTGGAAACAGAATTTGGCGTCTTGAATTTTCTCCTCCTCCCCTCTGTTTTTCCAACATGCTGAGACAGACTAACATGGCTAAATCTAACCTGGAAGTTAAGTCATGGCAACTGGACTTCTTTCTTGTTAGGCTGAAACGTTTCGCTACTCATCCAAGCAGCTTCTTCAATCTGAGGAGAGTTGGCAGGAGATCCCTGATATATCCTCTACATTGGGCAATCGCATTTCTGCAGTCCTTCTCCACCCATTGTCATGAGTCCTATTTATCATGCTGCCCTTTCATCCATGTCCAGAAGGATTAGGGACACACACAAGAAAGATCACTGTTAACTATCGTCAACCACCCATGGCAATGAGTGGAGGACCCAGAAGTGGGATTATCCCTCAACCTCGGCCCTTTGTCCTTCTAACGAGCCTATTCAGACCAGGGAATTATGAAATCAATGTGGAGGATATATCAGGGACCTCCTACCAGCTCTCCTCAGATTGAAGAAGCTGCTTGGATGAGTAGCGAAACATTTTACCTAACAAGAAAGAAGTCCAGTTGCCATGATTCAATTTCCAGATAACCACACCTGGATGACTGAGAATCTTCACAGATATGGCTAAATCTTCTGCCTATGAATGTGAATATTACAGTTAAAGCCACAAGAGTTGGATTTGGACCACAGGACTGTTCAGATCAGATAACTGCAATTGTATTTGGTTCTAACTTTTATGGAAATTCCACTTGGATTTTTAACAGTCGTGAATGAGACTTTGAATTCCTCTTTTATCCTCCAAGTAAGGTGTGAATATTTCCCTAAGATTTGATTTATGTCCCGTCTTGATTGTGCCCACATGTAAAACTCTTGTTACTAGAATTTTCACATCTTGAATAATTCTGACACTGCTGTGTTGTTCAGAGAGAATTAACCTACCGATTGTAGGACAGGACTGCTGAAAAGTATTAAGGCAGTCTAAGCAGTGGCCAGCTAAGAAATCTTGGTAACTGGAACAAGGAAACGCCATCATGGGGCAGGAGTCCTGCAAGGCACTGATGTAGAAATGCACAGCCCTCATGTGATCACAGATGAGATAACTGTAGCCTGTAGGAGGGAAGGAGACAGCATTAAAAAATCACACCACAGGAAGCCGAGTTAGTGGCAAAGCCTAGAGGTGCGTGGCCATAGTTGCTACTAATTTAGCAAATCAGCATAATAAAGCAGAGATGGAGCTTATTAGATTCACAAAATACGAGTGTGAACTCATGGATTAATGCTAAGGGTGCTCCAAGGGACCTAGTTTCTTTCTAAAGATACGTTTGATGGCCAGATTGTCCCAGGCTGGATCAGGCTAAACAGGGTTGCTTTGAAGTGCAGCGTGTTATTTGGTGTGATCCTTAATCCACATGCAAAGATTAAGTAGTTTCAGAGCAGGAAAGTGCATTGCACTTCAACCGATACTATTTAGCTTTCCCCCTTTTTTAAAATGAAAGGAAAAGAAATACTGTATTTCCTTCTGCATCCCCTCGTGTCTCCCCCTCTATAGACCATCAGGAGAGCCGTAATGCTTATTTTTAATTTACCTGTAACTGACATTGTGTCCAGCTGGCTTGCCAACCTATCAATTCAGAACTGGACTATAAGGATTTCAAAACAAAAATCTCCAAATCCTTTTCTGATTCCCCCTTTGTGGGAGGGGGAAGGGGAAGAAGCTTTCATTTATCGATAAGTGGATTGATCCTCTGGTGGCTTAAGTGAAGTAGGGAAGGGATCACCTTGGTTTGATACCAGTGATCACATACTGTATGCCAGTATCAAACCAAAATGGAGAGATCCTACCCATACACATACCAAAAAAAAGTACTGTAGTTCCCGACAGGGACCCAGAAAGGCGTGTGTAGGCAGGAGTAAGCGTTGGGGTGGTTTATGCATAAAGGTGCTAGGAAAAGGAGCAAACCATCCCATTCATAAAGTTGACCTAACGGTGGGACCAAGTCCCATCTGGTCGCACCCTAGATCAGAAATGATTCTGTACTGAATTAAGGGTGCCTCGAAGTGTCGGTTTTTCTAGTACCGGTAGCTGAGACATGGTGACACCACCACCTACATCACTGAAGCTAGGATGAAGCCTTCTTAAGATTTACAGAATAAATAAGCATTAAAAAAATACACATCAATTTACTAAAGGGCAAGATGAAATGCAAAATAAATCAAAATTAAAGACAAACACACAGGTTTATATTTCACATTAAGCAGTTTTAACTCATTTTAGTCAGGCAGTATTCAATTTTATGGTACAGTATTTTAAAGATTTTATTTACCTGCTTATAGTTATTATTTTGTCTCCTCTTAAGTAAATGTGTCCCACTGATCTAAAGAGTCATTATTCCTGTCACAAGTTGCCCAATTAATGCAAATAATGCAAAATCATGTGTGTTGTTACTCTAGGACAGATATTACTTTTCTCTTTTTCTTAAACACTGTACTTCCCTTCCCTCCCCCTTTTTTATTATTAATATCCTTGATATACATTTGTTTTTCCCCCCCACTCCTGGGTGCTGTCAGAAACTACGGAAGAAAGCTCTTGGCTTGCCATGTGGCAGATCTAGGGACATAGGAAGCTGCCTCATATGGACCCAGACTGCTGGGCTATCTTGCTCAGCAGTGTCAACACGGACTGGCAGAAGCTTTGCAAGGTTTCCAGACAGCACACAGGATTTCCAAGCCTGACCTTGGAGATACCAGAGCTCATATCGAGCATCTCCTCCTTGCCAACAAAGCACATGCTTTACCACTGAGCCACGGCCTCTCCCTACTTGCAGTGGGTATGTGTCAAACCCCTTAGAGAGAGCTGGAGAGCACTTCCTTGATCCCGGGATAAAGATCATGGAGGAAAACCAATGGTACACCCAGACAGGATTTCCTAATTGACCTCCTAATTGATTCTCCCTGATTCTTTGAAATCTGAAAAGGGCTGTGTGACAAATGACTTCAGGAATGGACTCCTTTGGTGATAAACCTGAACCAATCTCACCAGATGATATGAAACGAGGACATCCAGGCTGATCTTTGCCTCCATTGATGTAGTAGTCAATGTGGCCCACAGGTATTCGGATACCAAAATCTGAAAAAAAGAGAGAGAGATGGTTAGCATTGCTCTTTTTTTAAAGGTTCAAAATACTGCAGACATTCAGAGCAAATACATCCTTTGTGAGTTGCTATTCCCCCCCCACCGCAGATGCTTTCTCTTGACTTATCCCTTTTGTTTTTATTGCAAATGGTCACCAAACTTTACTGCCATGGCCTGAACTTACTCCTTTTCACTCTTCTCTCGTCTTTCCCTTTCTCTTCCCAACATTGCCTCTTTTATGTTGCTTTCTTCTTGGGTGGGTGGGGAGCTGTTGCTAAAAGAAATTATGCAGAGCAAAACATACACTATATAAAATGGGCATGTTGCTTAGCATAATAAATCACATTAGAGTAGATCCATTGAATCAGTGGGGATCTGATAAGTCAGCTCCTCTGTAAATTCAACTGATTCCAATGGGCATATTCCAGTTGTTACTTTAGCATAGTGGATCACTGTTTACATAATAATAATCTTGCATGCACTACTACTGGGTATCAGTAGGAGGAGGGCTTCACAGCTTAAGGCGATTGTCCTCTGCCACTAACCTCTTAGTAAAGTTCTTTTTCCCACCTCTGGCATTTGAGACAAGCCCCCATCCCTCTTCCTGTTTTGTTTTGTTTTGTTTTGTTTTGCTTCCATTGTTTTTTTTCTCTCTCTTTCTCTCCTGACACAACTCCATGCAGCAGGCATGGAAGGATGTCTCCATCGCATGACAAAAACTATGACTCCTCACTTTTTCCTTTTATTCTTCTGATTATATTGCAACTGTAAGTAAATAAACCTTTTTTTTCCTACTGCAAATGCTTCTAGAGTGATTTCTTATTACACAAAGGGCTTGTCATGTTAAAGGGGGTGATGATACTGGATTGCTTTTTCCACATTTATTACTTTCCTTATGAAAGGAGAATAACCAAAAGTCCCCAACAGTTACAACTAAAATAGGCCTATTTCAATGGGGACTATATAGAGGAGTTGATTTCTCACATTCCCAGTCATTCAATGGACCTAGTCTAGTACAACTTTCTACACACTAAAGAACGGGATTTAATCCAGTAAGTAATCTTCTACAGCATCTCTGTTAAGAACATGGAGAGGAATATAAAGAGCAAAACGGACAAAGTGAGAGTCCTGCTTAAGAGCTGAAAGCTCCTATGTTGAGATGAGACGGTAGAAATGATGCATCACAGGGAACAGGCCATTCTTGTTGGCTTCTTCATGAAACCCACACGGTGTCCCAAGGGAAGCAGACAGAGGGCAAGGGAATACGGCCTCAGTGGCATACATCAAACCAGCTTACTATCTGAATCTGTATGGATGGCTTCCACAAAGAGAGCATCCCCGGGATCTAGGCGTTCCTCACGACTGGCTCGGGTGAATTTGGGCCCGGCAGGATCCAAACCTGGTAAATGATGGAAAATAATAATATATACAGTACATATTACAGTATTCCATTACCAGCACCCTTAATGTCTTGAAAGCACAAGTGACTCTGCTAGATAAAAGTGTTCATGGCCTGATATCAGCTGAACCTTCAGCCTCTGGACTCCAAAGATAGGGCTGAGGCTGACTTCTGGCTTTATGCTGGAAACAGTACAGCCTCATATCACTTTAAATATTAAAAACAACATCGAGTGAAACACGCTCTTGGTTCTTTTTCTTATGTATAGCCCAGGAACATAGGCCATTTGGTGCTGGGGAAAAAACAACAACTTAGTTCTCCAACGAATTGCAATCAAGTGTTTTGTGTGTGTATGTGTTATATGCTGACATAGCACCTTAATAGGGTTTTCAAGGAAAGTGAGATATTTAAGAAGTGGTTTTACCAGTTCCACTCTTACAGTGAGTTTCCACGGCTGAGGTCTAGACTCTGTTCTCCAGAGTCCTAGCCCAACACTATATCTTTTTTAAAATTTAATATTTTATTTAAATTCAACTAAAACATCGATATACAAAAAACAGAAACAAAGAACAAAAGAATAGAAAAACAGGGAAAAAAAAGAGAGTCAGAGACTCCAAGCTTCATTGACCTTCCGTTCTCTCCAGCTGAGTTCCCAGTGCGATCTGAATGCATATACATATATAGTCAAATCTGCCCTACACTCCTGTCCTCCTCTGGGCCCAAGAGTATATTAGTTTCCAGCTTTGTTTTACATAGTCTCTTGATTGTTCCTGCAGTGCTTCTGATGGTATGTCCGGATCTGCTATGTCCCATAGATTCTTTAACAACTCTTCTATCGTTGGAGTTTCTTCGCTTTTCCATTTTTGGGCTCAGAGTAATCTGGCTGCTGTGAGTATGTTATGTTAGACAATATTTCATTTTTTTTATAATTGATTCCTGGCATGATAATCAATAATGCCATTTCAGGTTTTATATCTAATTTCTGCTGAGTAATTTCTTTCACTGTTTCCCACACCTGTGTCCAATAATTTTTGACTTTTTCGCATGTCCACCACATACGATAATAAGTTCCTGCATTTTTTAACACGTCCAACATATATTGCTGTTACCCTCTGACATTTTTGCTAGTCTTACAGGTGTATAGTGCCATCTATAAAACATTTTGAGGATATTTTCTCTAAGATTTGCTGGTTTGATCATCTTATAACTTTCTTTTCACATCTTAGTCCAATCATCAAGACCTATGTTATATCCAAAAAGGTTTGCCCATTTTACCATCATCTCTTTCACCCTCTCATCCTCTAAATCATATTCTAATAAGTATGTATACTTTTAAAATTATTTTTTCATCAGTATATATCCACAGTCTGTCCACCTGTACTTTGCCCTCAAAGAAATCCACAGTCCTATCTTTTTTGTATCTTGATTCTAATTTCACCATTGACCACCAATCAACAACTACACCCAATTTTTTAAGCTCTTGTTTGTCCTTTATCTTCTGTTCTTTAGTTAACAGATTTTCATATGTGGTCAGAACTTCTTTCTGGTTCAGCACTTTTAATGTAAATGCTTCTATAGGCGCCACCCACAATGGGATTTTCTTATAGGTTTGTGCTTGAAATTTTTGCCATATTATCCCTAGGGCCTTCCTGAGGATATGTTCTCCAAACTGTGAGTGTTCCTTATGTCTCCCGTACCATACATATGCGTGCCATCCCATTTTTAGATCATGTCCCTCCAGTTTCATGAGTCTGTGATTTTCTAAGGTTATCCATTCTTTAATCCAGGTCATAGTGCAGGCCTTATAATACAGTAACCAATTCGGTAGGCCTACTCAACCTGGGAATCTCAAGTCTTTCTTACACAAACGTATTTCGGAAAATCTCATCTGTAGTTACTTGTTTTTGTGATAAAATAAATGAAATATTTTGCAAGCCAAGAATCAAGTTTTGCTGAGATAAGGTTCTATTCTGCATGGTTTCCCAATCCTCTGGAGCACAGGGAATGAATGAAGGAGAGAGGCATCACTCTCTTGCTCTGTCACCAGTGGAACATCACCGAACACAAATCAAGACCTAAGAACAACACACAAGAAGTAGGAAATCTTTTTCCAGTTGAATCCCTCCCCCCAATATTTCAGTGACTGTCGTGTAGAGACAAAGAGAACTACTACAACAACCAGAGCAAAGAAACAGAGGAGAAAACCTAAAGGAGAAAAACAAGAGATCTCATTCAGAAGATCCAAGAAATCAAAGGGAAATTTAAGCCCAGATTAGGAATGCTGAAAGACCAACATGGAAACACACTATCTGACTAGGAAAAATAAAGAGAAGGTAGAAACAGTACATCGAAGATCTACAGTATACAGAAGAAATTAAAAGATTACAGGCTCCTTCAAAGAGGAATCCAATGATGGAGAACCTGCAATTCTAAAAGGTTAAGTGAAAGCTGCTCTGAAAGTACTAGGAAGAAACAAATCACCAGGAGTAGATGGGATGCCAATAGAACTATTTCAAGCACAGAGACTGAATCTGTCAAATACTAACAAGAATATGCCAACAAATGTGGAAAAAAGAACAATGGCCCACAGAATGAAAACGTTCACTATATATTCCAAATGCCAAGAAAGGAGATGCCAAAGAGTGCAGCAACTCAAGTGCTCAAGGTGTTGCAACAAAGTCTTGAATGGAGCAAGAAATGCCTGATGTTCAAGTTGGATTCTCAAAAGTAAGAGGCACTCGAGATCATACTGCAAATATCTGCAGGCTGCTGGAGCACATTGAAAAGTTCAGAAGAAGATATATCTGTCTATGCTTTATATGCTACAGCAAAACCTTTGACAATGTAGATAATGAGAAAGAGAAACTACATGTTGTTCTAAAAGAAAAGGGTGTGCCTCAGCACTTGATTGTCCTGACACATAACTTGTATTGTGAACAAGAAGGTACTATTACGACAGAATATGGAGAGACAGAATGGTTTCCTATAGGCAAAAGTGTCAGACAAGAGTGCATTTTATCTGTTCAATCTGTATGCAGAACATATAGGAAAGACAGACTAAGATTCAGATGCAGCGGAAATTGGCGGAAGAAACATCAATAATTTAAGATATGCAGATGATACCATGTTATTGGCAGAAAGCAGCAATGACATAAAACAGCTTTTAGAGAATATGAAATAAGAAAGTGCCAAAGCAGCATTGCAGTTGCATGTTAAGAAGACAAAAATCATGATGACAGAAGAATTAAACAACTTTTACATTAAAAACGAAGAAACTGAAGTAGTTAGAGATTTTGTATCCTTGATTCAATCATCAATCCAAATGGAGACTGCAGCCAAGAAATCAGAAGATTGAGACTCGGAAGGGCAGCAATGAAGGAACTAGAAAAGATCAAGTGTAAAGATGTGTCACTGGAGACCAAGATCAAGATCATCCACACTCTTGTATAACTGATCACCAGAGATGTTGGCAAGTCTTCTGTTCCAAGTCCCGAGTCCAAGTCTGAGTCTTTGGGGCTGAGTTCCAAGTACAGTGGTGCCTTGACTTACGAATATCCCGACTTACGATCATTTCAACTTATGACCAGCTCCGGCCGCAAAATTTTGCTTCAACTTGCGACCGGAGTTTTGAGTTATGATCGAAAAAAAAGGCAGGGGGACAGGGGAAAATTCAAATTTGCTAACCATTGGTTGGGGAAGAGGCTGCTTCTTTGTAGCTCTTTCGCCCTAACGGTTAGAGTGTGTGCATCGGAGGAGGCTTCGGACTGCCTGGTGCTGCTTTCTGCTTCTGAGTAAGTACATTTACAGCGTTTTGCAGGGTGGTTTTGGGCTGGGGGGTTATGCTTCTGTGCTGTGATGTTGTTTTGTGTTTTAGTGTGTTTGTTTTTTCAGCCCCAACGCGTTCGGATGGGGATTGCTGTGTTGTTTATTTTTGGGGTTTCCCCCCCGGCCCCAGAGTGTTCCGATAGGGCTTCCTCTGTTTGTTTTTTTGGGCAATTTTTCCCCCCAGCCCCAGCATGTTCCGATGGGGCTTGCGTTTTTTGTTTTGTTTTGTTTTGTTTCTGTGTGGTTTTTTTTCTGGCCCCGATATGTTCCGATGCGGCTTGCAGTGGGGTTTTTTTTGGGGGGGGATTTCTTTTCTGGCCAGAATGGATTAATTGCATTCCAGTACATTCCAATGGGAAATTGTACTTTGACTTCTGACCATTTCGAGTTACGCTCATCATTCCAGAACGGATTAAATTTGTAAGTTGAGGCACCACTGTATAAGTCCACGTCTTCGGGCTGGAGTCCTGAGTCCAAAGCCTAGGATCCAGGTCTTGAATTGATGGCCCCTCCCCCTGGGGGGGACACATGTGCAGACAGGAGGCCTGGAAGGGAAGCCGGGCCAGCACATGCACTTGTAGAGACAGGGGGCAAACTTCCCTTCAGGAGCTGGTCCCCTGCCTCTGTGCATGTCAGCAGCTG